AAAAAAGGTGACGTGTGAACTTCGTTGGTACCATACGCTGCCAGTTTTGATTCGTCCACGTGTTACTCTCTCGTTTCACCTTATTTTTCATTTTCCCTCCATTACAACAAGGCCATTTCTTGTTTTCTATTCTATTTCTTTTTCTCTCTCCTGTCCTTTTCTTCTCTCTCATTTTCCTATTGCCTGCCGCCTTTCCTGCCGTCGCCGCCGGTGTAAAGGGCCGGATGGAAGGGACGATGCCGTTGGCTTCTAAAAGCGTCGATCCAACATTGGAGCCAAGAAATTTTTACTTCGGAGCAGTGAGTGCGTTCTGTTATCTTGATGATTTTCGGCTCCGATCAGGCGCCCTCACACATCGAGTCGATGCTCAAGGCTCAGATTGAAGCTTCCGTGGTGCTGACCTATGCCTGGAGGACGGATCTGGCACTGTTGAGTGCTAGATTGGGCTCAAAGAGAACACCAAAACACTAGGGTTTCGTAGCGCCGATTGGTTTTCCGAGGTGCCAGTGGAGCCAAGATCCAAGTGGCCACCTTCATTTATCTCGGAATCTTAGACTCTTTCGATCTCTCGATCTCACATCTTCCTCTCTGGTAACAATAACTTATTCCTTAATTTTTTCAGTTATTAATCATTGATTTTCCTACCTGCTGCGTTAAATTCCACTGAAACAAACATAATCACACACAAAGCCTGTTGTATGTGTGTTTGGATGATTACGATTTTTAGGTTTGTTGTTTTGAGTTGATATACGTAATAACTTATTCCTTAATTTACGTTTTTTTATGCTTCTTGTGGTTTTGTTTTTGAAATGAGATACTGTTGTTTTGATGTTCATTTTTATTGGCTTGTTGTTTTGATTTGATATAGGTTAATGTGTGATATTACGTTTTGTGCAGTTTTTATGTTTCCGCCGTGGTTTATTCTGCCCAATTCCTTTTGGAAAAAGGTCCTAAATAAGAGAGAACATATCTAAATCATTTGTTAGAGAATCAGAGTTACTTTTTTTTTTTTATGATTCTTGCACCTTTTCTTCTTCAAAGAGTGTTTAAAGTAATAGGCTCACAAAAATTTGGTTTCCTGTTCCTTTTCGTTTTGATAATGCATTTTTGAAGTTGATTTAAATGTGATTTGATATTCTGATTCAAGTGAAACAAGTCATGTGGAGTTAGCTGGTCAATAAGTTACTTTAGAGTCATCTGATTTTTTTTTTTTTTTACTTTAATTCTGATACTCTTAATCTTATTTTACTGTATAAAATGCTTAAACCTTGTTGTCACAGGTTGTTGTACCCTTGCTTAGGTTCAGCCATTACATCCCTGCGTGGAATAATGACATCTATTATGGGATTTGTTCCCGGAAGATTGTTGCTTCAAGCACTAAAATTGCCTTTTTTCTTCTTCTTTACTAGATTGCATATAATGCACTGTCTGTTACATCTATATACCAACTCATAAATTACCAGTGATAGGATATACCTGTTAGTTTTAGATGGATTCTTGTATGTATATTCAAACTTTCAAGTTGAGCAGCTTTCTATCATGATATTAGAGTGTTCTTGATACCATGTTTGCATCCGTCAATTGTCCCATGCTATTCCTTCTTGAACATGCAATAGTAACCAAACCAAGAGGTGGTGATTAATCTGTCTACTGGTCTCCTGGAGTTTTGTTATCTCTGGTAATCTGAACTTGTTGCAGAAGTTTTTTGTGAGGTCAGATGTTTGATTCTGGTAGAGAATGTACTTTCTTGCCTTGAAGTGCTATCATACTTCATCATGTTAATTAAGGTTCTCAATTCCCAAGCAAAACCTAACTCCATACCTTTTTTTTTTTTTAGCACATGACGTTCACATTAGGTGGAGGATCATATGTTTTATCATATTCCAAGCATTCTTATCACATCAAAAGATTACTCAGAAATTGCCACAAGGTGCTACTTGGCGGTTAAACACACTCATTTCATGCCAGATCCATGCATGTTTATTCTTCATGGATGAGTTGGGTTTCAAGACATGCTAATTCTACCTCTGGCTGACAGGTATGATTTTTTTTTTTTTTTTTCATTTTGCTGTAAATTACAAGGAAAGAATTATTCTTCATTGTGTTATAAGAGTACAATATGGTAGCTGCTTTCTAGTTTAAGGGTAAAATATTGTCACTTGAATTCATAGTCTCCATTTAAGTCCTTCATCACCATTATCATAGGAGCTAAGGCCAGTTTGCTGAAGTTTTTGCCCCTTGCCCATAGCCATTTGATCTTAGAAAATGGAATGGAGGGTGGAACTTTAGTGTGTGTCTGGCAAGAGAAAATTTTCTCTTTTTTCTATTTTCCTTGTCTTTTCCTAAAAAAGAATTTTCTTTTCATTTTCATTAAAGATTGTAAAATTTTATAATTATGATTGGTAAACGGAAATGTGAGGGAGCAGGGAAGAAAAGAGAGATGTTAGGGTTTGCTGGTTAAGAGAGCATTGGCTAAATGGGTTACAGAGAGCTTGGGGGTTTTATACTAAAAATCTAAAATTATTAATTTTAACCACATAGAGTTTTATTTGTTCCAGATATATCCCTCCACATGCAACATTTTTTTGCCTTTTCATTTAAGGAACTTGTGTGTTTTCAAAGGAAAACATCAAAAAGTTGTTTTTCGTTTTCCAATAATTTTGATTTCCTTTTCCCAAAAAACAATTTCCATTACTACTTGCCAAACAAATTCTCCATTTATTTTCCATTTTCTAATGGAAATGAGATAGGAAAACAACGTTGTTTTCCGTGGCCAAACACACCCTTACCCTCTCACCTTTTCATTTCCTTTTAAAACTCCTCTAGACATTATCCTGCCTTGAAGTGACTATAACCAATGGTAACGCACCTAGAGGCTTGAATCCCTGCATATATATGATATTTTCTTGTAATCATACCGTAGGTCCTTCAGGATGTTACTGGACAATGTTAAAATTTGATGCTTTATACCTATCATTAAGCTTGCAATTTGCAATGGTTGGGTTTTCTAGGTGTTGATGTGCTGTTGATACTGGAACAGTCTTTTGCTCTATTGAAGTCATGGGATATGCTAATTTCTAAATGCTTTGTCCTTTGAAATCTTTGAAGGCCTACTCTACTTCGTCTTTGTCTCTCTCTCATTTGCTCTTGTTTTTTCTGGTAATAGATAATCTTATTGTAGTAGGTGCAACTGTAGACACATGTTACATTGTTCTCTCACATCCTCTCTCGTTTTCTCACTTTTATCTCGGATTAGGTTATCAACGGAACTGTTTCCTCAAAAATTCTATAGTGGCCTCGCACATGTGAAATTTGGGTGTAGGCGTGCCACTTACTTTGCTGAAAGTAAGAAAGGAAGACTTTCTCAACGATCCTCTCCTTCCTCATGGTCTTGATGATTTGAAGGCAGAAGTACGAGATCCTCTAGAGGAGGTAAATTTGGGTACTGAGGCAGATTCGAAAATTACTTTTATTAGCGGTTGCAAGCAGTGACTTTACTGGTGGAGTAAATCGCTCAAGGGGAATTCTGCCAGTAGAACTTACCGTTAGAAATAGAACTCTCATGTGTGTGAATGTTGGATTAAAATGAAATTTGCGCCTTCAAATGATTTGCAAAAGGAGGAAATACCTTTTTGCAAATTGGGTTACGAAATCTGCATTGGACAATTCCAAAGACCGTGTGTTCTTCCTTCCAAAAATTTTTTTGTGTTCTCCTTGTGCTCATAGTAACTTTCACTTTTTGCAGTTACTCAATCATGGGCAGTTTCTCGAAGTAATGGGACATCTCACCTTTTGATCTGGTATAATCTTCTTACAGATTTCGTCTTTTATCAAATAAAACCCTATTTTTAACTGCAATCTTCTCTTATTTTTTAGTTCCCATTATCCTTTTCTGTCTCAAGAAGATTATTATTTTATAAAAAATTATCTTTACCTTTGCCAGCTTCTTTCTTTCATTTTTTTTTTTTTTTTACTTTTCCAGATGCATTCTAACCAAATTCAGCAACCCATTTCCTTCATTTTTCACAATGTACTGCTGGTTGATTTCGTTCAAACATGACAATGTGCAATTTCAACCAATAAAGAGACAAGGAGATACATAGAAGAAAAATCAACAAAAGTTGTTTTGCCAACTACTCCATTCTTCTCTCATGTTCTTGATTTCTTCAGCGGCTTCATCTGCAAAGGCTGTGAAAGAAGGTAGTTGATCCTTGATTTTAGAAGCAGATTTTGAATCAAGAACATGAGAGAAGAATGGAGTACTTGGCAAAACAACTTTTGTTGATTTTTTTTCTATGTATTTCTTTGTCTCTTTGTTGGTTGAAATTGCACATTGTCATGTTTAAACTTATTGTTTGCGGTCACTTGTATTCAGATTTCACACGTGCGAGACCACTAGAGAATTTTTGAAGAAAGAAGAGCTGAATGGTGGGTAATTGAATCTTTTCCTAATTTCTCTCCATGGCTTTTTTAAGTTTTTATTAAGAATCAATAATACAGAGTTTAATGAGCAATATTTTAAAATTTCTATCAGGTTAAACTGCAAGCCTCATTAACACTTTGCCAATGGGATTAAAAATGCCATTTTTTAGCAGTATTATTTCTTAACAATGTTAATGTGCAAAGTCAAATTCTCTTTTTCTCAAAAAATGGATGTGAAGTTCTGATTCGTAAACTAGCATAATTAGAAAGAGTTAGATTACTGTATATATATATATATATATATATTTGAAGGGCAAGTGTTAGATCACTGTTGAGTTTCTGTTGTGGTTTTCTGTCCTTGAATTTGTCCTGGTGTGCGGCATATATTGTATTTTTGCTCTACATAATTATATCATGTTGCCTTCTTGCGAGTGAAAAAAAGAACTATCTTAATTTTAATGGATCGACTTAATCAGCCGCTTACTCGAATAAATACATGGGCGTGGCACATTTAATGATCGCTTTCTAAAGCCTGAATAATAATGGAGTAAAAAATCTGGGAAGTGATTTACCGAAAAAAAAATTAGGGGAAATGGGCTTAGTGGTTTACAAAAATGGGCCATCAGCTAATGGCCCAAGAATAAGCTTATATGGGTAAGTTGGTCTTTTTCCGGGTCTGGTTGTGTCCCATTAGAATGAGGGTAAAAAAGGCCCAACCGGAAAATGAAGTAGGCAGAATTGATCTCTACGAGGCCCATTAGAACAAATTTGTGGGCCCAAAGGTGTAACGGTGTGGCCGAATGAAAATAGCCGCGAGGCCCAACAAGTGAGCAAGTGGATCGTTGGGAATGAACTTAATGGGCATCAGGTCCAATATCTAAAGGACAAATTGTCTCTAGGCCCAAATAGCGAACTTTGGGCGTAAAAGATCTATCGAAAGGCGGAAAATGGAGTTGTTAATGGTTGGCCCAATAAGCTAAAGATGGGTCTAATAAATTAAACACAAGGTCCAACAAGAATAATGGGTTGAGTGGGGGCCCACTGGGCCTGGGCACCAATGGGCCTGCAGATATAGGCCCAATAAATTTTCACAAGGCTCACCCGTGAAAATGTGGGCCAAACGGTCAAACCCGTTGGGCTTATGGCCTAACCTGAAACAACTTCTGGGCTTCTAGGCCCAACTTGCTTGTTATGGACCAAATAAATTATGCGGCCCAACAAGCCCCAACATTGGGCCTAACAAATATATCTTTAGGCCCAAAATGACGAGGTTATTGGGCCTGAGGCCCATCATTTTCCAGACCAATGGGCCTGCAGTAGGCCTAATAAATTAACAGGAAGGGCCAACGGGGACTTACTGGGCCTGTCCCAATATTCAGAAGACGCCCAACTAGCTGCTGAGAGGCCCAATCCGTGAAAATGTGGGCCTAAAGATCGAATTTTTTGAGCCTCCTGCTCGAGGCCCAACTTGCTTGCTACGGATCAAATAAATTCCAAGGCCCAACAAGTCACATGAGCCTTCTGGTTTAAACTTCGCCAACCAGTACGCACCTTTCGAAGGCTTAGAGGCCGAATTTGCTTATTCTGCCTAGGCATTAGGTCTAAATCGAGAAAATTTAAGGGGAGGAATCCATTGAAATAGGCATTAAGATCCAATCTCTGATCCATTCATGGGCTAATCGGGTCCTAATTTGAGAACTTATAATTCTTATTTGTCACATTCTTCGGACTTTAGTAGCTTCTGATTCCCGACTTTTATCGACGATTTATGGGACATGTAGCCCATCGATCTGGGCCACTTGCATTACTTTCTAAACTTTAATTGCCCCATAACAGGAAGAATTCAGAGATAAAATTAAAATAATTTAATTCAATGGGCCAATCAGTTAGTTTTAAAACTCTTTTTTGGTAAAACAATTGGCCCAATCCGAAAACATTTGAGCCCCGATGTGCGTCAGCTCTGCTCCATGGGGCCCGATAATAAAACAACATATTTCATTTTCATTTGTGTAACGGCGCGCTAGTGTGTCGTCTATAGAGCTTGCAGGATGGCCTGTGCGTGGTCGCGGGGGCATGTTTGTGCTTGTGAACAAAAATGCAATTATTAACTTTTAAACATGACAACATGATTAATAGCTAAGATAACCGTCCTCTTTTCCACTTGCCTCTTCCACTATTGCATCCCATACACAACCTGTGACCAAGGCCGAAACTGTCAGAAGAAATAGAAGAAATAGATTTTTTAATCAATTAAATTATAATGTTTCCCCGAACCCTTCAAGCCAAACCAACTTGTATATAATCCACTCATTGCCAGTAACTTCACTATGATGGTATGGGTGATTATAAAGTCAAGGTCAATTTATAATCCCGAAAAGAATTCTCAATGTTAATTAAAATAATGAATTATGAAGCCAACTGTGGCACTCAAACAAGGATGGCTACTCAAAACAAGTTTCTGGCAAAGCAAAAACAAACACCATAGTTCTATTGCGAACTTGACAACAAAGAAACCTTTCAGCCTTTACATAGCTTTTTTTGCACCTAACAAAGAAGACACTTACATATCTATTTTTAACTTCAATTTTAGTCCACCAACATTTTCCATTTTCACTCATCACAATGGATTCAGTTTTGCTAAGGAAATGCAGTAAGCAGAATCCTCATCCATCATCAATAACATCTAGGGATGTCTTTTCCCTAAAGGGAAAACCAGCTATTTTACTTTAGTTGGCATTTCAAACCTAGAACTTATTTCCAAGTTGTTATTCTAAAGTCATGGAAGAGTAAAAACAATAGTTTAACTGTCTAACCAGCAACCCCTGGCCTCTGGTGTATCAGTTCTCTTATAAACATTTGACTATATTCAAAAAATATTTTGGGCAACAAATCCTTCGAAACTTGTAGAATAACAAATTAATAAAGTAACAAGATGCATCATTAGATGAAACATGTAGAATGTTATAAACCAAAACACCATCAATTTGTTATTTCACATTACCAAAATGTGGGTTAAATTTTATTGTACCCCAGATATGACCATATATATGCTTACTAAAGGTTTTCTAGAAAAAAATTTGAGGCATGAAAATACATACCTGTTTTTTCAGTAGATTTCCAAGTTCACCAGTTGTGACTGATTTCTTTCTACATTCTGATCTAATAAAACCTCCATTGATTAACCCATACTTGTAAGCACACCATTTCTAGAGAAAAGTCTCCAGCTTTGTTTCTTGCCACAAAATGCTAAAAGTTATTCCACAAGCAATCAATTGCTAGCAGCTTATTAGTCACAATGAAATACAAAACACATTTTGCATAACATCAATAGCCCAATAGACTTTAAATGAAATTTTAGAACAATAGTGCAGACATCTTTTGCATAACATCAATAGCCCAATATACTTTAAACAAAATCTCAGAATTATAGTGCATATGAAGATATGCCTAAAAGCAAGAATTCACCCATTTTCCAATAGGAATTACAGGTTACTACTTTCTATTTACTCCATAGTTGATAATAACCTTCAGCATGGAAATTCAGATGTTCTCAAAGAGTCCAATTCACCATCCAGACAAGGATTTGTCTACGCTGACTTGACTCAACCTTTTCAACCTATTGCAAGGCATAGCCAAGTAAATAATTAATAGTTTAAATTAAAAGATGTTCTCAATTAAAACACACTCTCTTACAATGAGTTACAATGCTACAAGATGTAACTCATGACAGAAATAAACAAAAAATTCAACTAAAGAAGTTGATAATTATTACCATTTTCATATTTAATTTTTATGCTCTTTACTAGTGAACCAAATACAAAAGTTATATAACCATAATTCAAGATTGAATAAATATATTAGTGTTTGCAGTTCAACTAGGCCCATAGAAAATCCACACACAAGTAAAGCAAACCTTGCAGAGACTATGGGGTGAAATATGATGATATATGTCTCTTTTTGCTACAATTATTGCACGTAAACCAATATCTCAGACACAGCTCAACTGAATGACAACGGTAAAAGGAATAAGGAAAGGACTAACTAACTACCACTATATAATCAATTAACAAAGTATATAATTTTAAATTATCATGAACTAAATCATCATAAAAACTAGCAAATATGTTAAACATAGGTTAGCCATCTTCTCAAATTTGATAATTAGTCATGAGAAAACATGACAACTGTAGGTGGCCTAGCCTCTATTCAAAAAAGACCATGGTAGGGAGTGGGTGGGGGATTCAAACACAGAATAATACCAGATAATCTTCATCTTGAGCATTTTGTTGTTCCTTGTCTCAGTATACATTTGAATTTCAATGGCATAAACCTCCAGCAGCTGGCTTCCTTTCTTTTGATCATCAGATCCATCTTCCTTTTGACAAGATAAGTCTCTGCAAAGCAGAAAGCAATTTATTACATCTAGGCAGAAACACCAATGGGAATATGGTAAATGTGGATAATTTCCCCACCTTGTTCTTTGCCTCTTCAAGGGCCTACAAAGGGGTCTGATAAAATTCTTGCAGAAGACCAAAATTTTGACTAGCTGAGCCAGACACAAAATCCCTCATATTGTTTATATATTTTGAACTGTAATTCCTTGTCACTGCTGATTTGATGTATGTTAGCATCTTCTTGTATGCAATCATCATCTCTTTATACCACCCCAAACAGTAATAAAGCTTCACAGTTTGTATTAGAGCTTTGAATCCCCTGGCAGAGAAGGAAAGAGTAAGATAACTTAACCTTAGTGGGAAAAGGGTTCAAGCACATGAATAATTACTAGTCAATCAATACACAGAAGCAGAATGTATGATCATGTGATGGATGCCAAATTTCATCTCAATAAGCTGAAATAATCTTTATTTTTATAAGGGGGTTCTTTAATATATAGAACATAAAAGAGAATGGCTTAATTCTAATTGACAGGCAACAAACAACATATGAAACATTGCAAGTCCAATAAGAGGATAGCCAAGTATGAGTAAACAACATAAGCTACCAAAGAAATTCAACAAAAGAAGGGGGGAAATTTTGTTCTTGAGTCATAATTGTCCGTTCCATTGATGTTCTGTGATTGAGTTGAGTGAAATTTATCGATAATAGAAAACTCTCCACTTTCATAGTTAACTAATACTGTAATTCTGCAAACGTTGGGAAGGTAATTTTAGAACTTAAAAGAATATATAGTAAGTTGTGCCCACTCACTTGTGGCAGATATGAACAGAAGTTGATAATTCAGAATAAATTTGCGTCAGTTAATTAAGTTATATTCACTAGTGTTGAACTCAATCATAACTATAATAGAAAAGCTATATAACTATAATTCAAGATTCAATAAATACATTCGCGTTTGTAGTTCTAGGGTCCACACAAAAGTAGAGAAAACCTTGCAGAGATTACACAGTGAAAAATGATGATATATGTCTCTTATGAACATGGGAAACACAATCTTATAAACAGTGAATTCAACTAGAGAACTTGATGATTATTACTATTTTCATATAGAATTTTTTAGCTCTTTTCTAGTGAACCAAAAAAATCCAATTATAGAATTATAATTCAGTATTCAATAAATACATTAGCTTGTGTAGCTCAACTAGGGCCATAGAAAGTCAACACACAAATAGAGAAAACCCTGTGGAGTGAAAGTTATAACTCTCTTATGAAGATAGGAAACATAATCTTAAACAGATCTGGCGTACAATCGAAGAGGAAAATATATTTATGATTGAACAACAAAAACATCAGTCAGCAAGCCAGTTATTAAGAACTTAAACTCCATCTATTCCCTCTCAATTCTAGTACCAATGAAGATCTTGATTCTAACCCTAACTCAGGAGAAGAATATTCAGGCATCAAAAAGAATCAACTAAATTTACCTCTATCTTTCATCGCACTTCCCAGCGCTCTTGTAAGTTTCTGTTCCTATGACCGATGTGAAGATCGACTATAGATGCCTCGTCGGCGCGTTCGCCTGGTCCTCCGACGATTAAATCCTCGAGCGAACCATTTCCGCGAAATCGTCGAACCTAAGATCGATCGTGACAGTAAGACATCAAGATTCAGATTCGTGATTATAAACAGATGAACAGTCAAATTTGAAAAAAAGAATATTACCGTCAATCAAGCACAATCTCGGGAGCGATGTGGACAGATTCATCCATGGAGGCGGTGATGGCTGTCGAAGATATTAAATCATCGAGTGATGGTTGTGGAAGATACTAAATCATCGAGCGAAACATCGACCATTCTGGCGAAATCGTCAATCCAAAGATCGATCGCGACGCTAAGAGATCAATATTCAGATAAACGGAATATTACAGTCAATCAAGCTCAATCTCGGAAGCGATTTCAGCAGATTCATCCTTGGAGGCGGTAGATATAAGGTAGTCACAGAGGTCGCCGACGTGATTACGGAGACGGTGGTCTGGAATCTGGTGTCTGGATGAACTAGGGTTTTGGGTTTCAACTGTTTGGGTAGAGTTTTCTTTCTCTCGAATTGGAAAAAATATGCGAGCGGGCTGAGCATGCACCGCATCGATATGCGATTGCTTTGAGCCCTATTTTGGGTCCCTCAACTTTTATATGAAGCTCCTTTTTAGTCCTTAAACTGAAAAAATCTCTTTTTAAGTCCTTCAAATTTTTTTGCTGGCATGGTACTTTAAAGTTTAATCACAAAGCATGAAACACACCTCCTCAATATATCTTAACAAATACAAATGAAGTTTGGCCGATAAAAAATGGATATAAATATATGAAAAATGGTTTTTATTACAATATATTGATAATAAAATCCTACACATAATAATTTTTATTAATTCTTTTAATTCAATAACATATGCTAAGGGAAAAGGGAAATAGAACTTTAGGGGTTATTGAAGAATGTAAAAGCTACATTGAAATTGCACGTTTAAAACCAAAGATTTAACTGTGGTTAACAAAAAAAACTAAAAAATTAATTGCTTTACTATATTTTTAATACTATAATACC